GAAAACTTGTAACAACTTGAATTATCTTGAATTGTGGTGAAAAGATGTCATGAAGTAATGAAATTAACATGTATGAAAACACTTAGAAAAATCTCTAAATCTTGCAAAGTTTGACCTTTCAAAATGACTTTTGACCTTCTTGATTTCTTGATGATCAAATTTCACATTTTTGAATGTCTTGATGAAATATGATCTTTGAAACCAAAATTTGATCAAAAAGTCAAAGTTTGACTTTTCAGTGTACAATTGACTTTTTTCATCAGTTGACCAAATTTCATATATCAATCCACTAATCTCGGGAGATGAATTGAAATATGCGATTAGGTCAAAATGATGTACTTGGATCCTTGAGATCATGTTTCAAACTAATATTTCATGTACTAGGTCAAAAGTCAAAGGTTGGTCATTCTCAGTCAAAACCCTAATTTTGACCATTTTGCCCTTTTGATGATTTGAACAATTTTCTTGAAGAATTATGATCCAATCTTGATCAAATGATACATATGACTTCAAAATGTTGATATTGGTCTAAAATCTTAAATTTTGATTGTAGGTTGATCATAATTGACTTTTTTCCAATATAGTTGATTTTAGGCCATATGATTAATTGATTGAGCAATTTTGTGATCTAAGACTTGAAACTTGACAGGAGCAATCTTGAGGGTCCATAATGATCCATGAAATTCATTTGAAATATTAGAAGTCCAACTATCTTTGTGCAAACTCAAACCCTAATTTGAGGCATCAATGTTGAGGAGATGGCTTGACCTAGTCAATACTTGTGCAAGCTTGAATCATTGAAGATCTTTGTGAGAAATATCTTGAGAAAAGGGAGGGAAAATTTTGGGGTACAACAGGTGGTATTCTTAATAAGGAGATGAGAAGAAAGGCATAAGGTACTTCATCTCAATCTAAGGCACTTGTCACTTAAAGTAGGGGAGAAGTCATAAAAAGGAACCGAAGGGTGGTAGAAAGAATAGAAGAAGAAAGTCCAAGCCACGATATAAGAATCTGGAGTGTCATTATTGTCACAAAACATGACACATACAAAAGTATTGTTATCAGTGGAAAAGGGATAACAAAAGCAAGAAATGTAAGTCTAAACAAAGATATCATCAAGATCATGACGATGATTGTGTTACTACTGCTACTTGTAATGATCTTGTTATCTTACATGATCATGAGTCTGTTAATCTCATATCAAATGAGAGCATGTGGATAGTTGACAGTGGTGCTACATTGCATGTTACACCAAGTAAGGATTTCTTCACATCTTATACTTCTGGTGATTTTGGAGTGTTGAAGATGGATAATGATGGTGTATCTAAGTTAATTGGTGTTGGTGATGTTTTCTTGAAGACCAACATGGGAATGTAATTGTTGCTTAAAGGTGTCAAACATGCTTCAGATGTCCGATTTAATTTGATCTCTGTGCATATGCTTGATGATTGTGGTTATGATAATCACTTTGGTTATGGAAAGATGGAAGCATTATAAGTTATATTGGACAAAAGCTTTCTAAATTGTATAGGACAAAAGCTTTGTTTACTAGGGATAGTGTGAATGCTATTTACATGGAAGCATCTTTATGGCACCGAAGGCTTAGTCATATTAGTGAAAAGGGGCTGAATGTTTTAGCCAAAAAGGATGTTCTTCCTGGTTTAAAGAATGCATGTTTGGAGAAGTGTTCTCATTGCATGGCTGGTAAACAGACTAGAGTATCTTTAAAGAGACATCTTCCCTCAAGGATGTCAAAGTTGCTTCAATTGGTACATTCTGATGTTTGTGGTACATTAAAGGTAAAATCCTTTATTGGTGAACTTTATTTTGTTACCTTTATTGATGATTGTTCCAGGAAACTATGGGTTTATGCCTTAAAGAAAAAAGACCAAGTGTTGGAGAAGTTCAAAATATTTCATGCTTTGTTAGAGAGGCAGACAGACGAGAAACTTAAATGTGTTCGTTCTGATAATGGTGGTGAGTATTGTGGACTATTTGATGCCTATTGCAAGAAGTATGGTATTGCACATGAAAAAACTCCTCCTAAAACTCCCCAATTGAATGGTTTAGCATAGAGGATGAGTTAAACACTAATTGAGAGAGTAAGGTGTATGCTCTCTGAAGCTAAATTTCCAAATCATTATTGGGGTGAGGCACTTTACACGGCAGTACATGTTCTTAATCTTACTCCTACTGTTGCTTTGAATAGTGAAGTTCCAGATAAGATTTGGTTTGGAAAGAATGTCAAGTATGATCATTTGAGAGTCTTTGGTTGTAAAGCTTTTGTGCATATTCCAAAGGATGAAAGATCCAAGTTGGATGCAAAGTCAACAATGTATATTCATCGGCTATGGTCAAGATGAGTTGAGTTATAGGTCATATGATCATGTAGGGAAGAAGCTTATCCGAAGTCGTGATGTAGTATTCATGGAAGACCAAAATATTGAAGACGTTGATAAAGTAGAGAATACTACACCCAAGAAAGATATCTGTTTCTATAATGTTGAACCAGTTTGGTTACCTAATCATAATATAGATGGTATTGGTGGTGATGATCAGAATAATGAGTCGTATGGTTATGTTGATGATCAACAACTTGGAGATGAGGTGAATATTCCAACTAATGATGATGATGAATGGGAAAATGATATGACACAAGATGATAATCTTGGTACAGCTCCAGAATCATCTCAAGTTCAACTTAGGAGGTCTATCAGAAAGAGACAACCTTCTACAAGGTATAACTCTAATGAGTATGTGACCTTGATTGATGAGGGTGAACCTGAGTGTTTTCAAGAGGCCATGGAAAGTGATGAAAATCAAAAGTGGTTGGATGCAATGCATGACAAGATGAATCATTGCATGATAATCATACTTAATATTTAGTGAAGTTGCCTAAAGGCAAAAGAGCTTTGGAAAACAGGTGGATTTGTAGAGTTAAACGTGAGAGCAACTCTAAGTATCCAAGATATAAAACTAGATCAGTGGTTAAAGGTTTCCGTTAAAGAAAGGGTGTTGATTTTAATGATATTTTCTCACATGTTATAAAGATGTCATCAATCACGGTTGTGTCGAGTTTAGCTACTACTCTTGATTTAAAGGTTGAGCAAATGGATATGAAAACAACTTTCCTTCGTGGTGATTTAGAGGAAGAAATCTACATGAAACAACCTAATGGTTTTCAAGTTATAGGGAAAGAGGGTCATGTTTATAGTTTGAGAAAAAGTCTATATGGTTGAAGCAAGATCCAAGGCAATGGTACAAGAAGTTTAAGTCTGTTATGTGTGAACAAGGATACCAGAAGACTACTTCATATCATTGCGTCTTTGTTAGAAAATTTTATAATCATGACTTTATTATCCTGTTGTTATATGTTAATGATATGCTTATTGTAGGGAAAAATATTTCTAACATTAACAGGTTAAAGAAGCAGTTGGAAGAGTCATTTTCCATGAAAGACATTAGAGCAGCTAAACAAATTTTTGGCATTAGAATCATGTGTGAAAGAAAGAAGAAGAAACTTTGGATGTCACAAGAACATTATATCGAAAAAGTGCTGCGAAGATTTAAAATGGAAAACTCTAAGGCGGCAAGCACTCCTCTTGCTACTCATTTCAAATTGAGTTATAATCAAAGTCCTTCAAGTGAACATGAACCATTTGATATGAAATGTGTTCCTTATGCATCTGCGGTGGGGAGTTTGATATATGCAATGATATGTACAAGACCAAATATAGCACATGATGTTGGTATAATCAATAATTTTTTTTCAAATTCAGGTAGAGAGATTGGAATGATGTAAAATGGATTTTAAGATATCTTTGTGGTACTACTTCTATGAGACTTTGCTTTGGAGGAGATAAACCTACTCTAGTAGGATACTCTGACTCTGGTATGGCTGGAGACATTGATTCCAGAAAATCCACTTTAGGCTACATCATTAAATTTATAGGGGGAGTTGTGGCCTGGCAGTCCAAATTGCAAAAGTGTGTAGGATTGTCTACTAAAGTCATTGTTATCACTGAATCATGTAAAGATTTACTTTGGTTGAATAAATTTTTGTAGGAGATTGGTTTTGTTCAAGCAAATATGTGTTATTTGTTGATAGTCAAAGCGTTATTCATCTTGGTAAGAATCTAACTTTTCATAATAGGTCTAAACACATTGATATGAGATATCTTTGGATATGTGAAGTTTTGGATGCTAAGTTGTTGTAATTATCTAAGGTTCATACAAATTATAATGGTTATGATATGATGACTAAAGCATCATCAAGAGGGATGTTTGAAGCTTGTTGTGATATCGGCGGTTTGGCAATTTCCTCCACATAGTTGTGAGGGGGGGATTTGTTGGGCTTGGGTTCCCTTCCTATATGGAGAAAGACCCAAATATTAATAGCCAATTTGTCTAACTTATATAAGTGAAGAGTTTCAATTTAGGGTTAAGACAGATAGAGAAAAATAAGGATTCAAAAAGAGAGAAAAGAGAAGAGAAACTCATTCCCGTTTTTTCTGCAGCAGTCTCACTAAAACGATGATCCAAGATTCTTTCACAGTTGGATCAAGATGAAATTTGGTGAGCTTTTTTGCAACACATATATCTAATTTTCGACTGTTGAGATCTTCAAAATGAGGTCTGAGTTGAGAGATATGGTCTTTTCCCTGAAGCTGCAAATTTGGGAAAATTTTCAGTTTTTTTATTCTTATTTGTAAGTTTGTTTGCTTTATGATTTGCGGTTGTTATCACTGTTTTCTTAATAAATTTAAAGACTCTCTTGTAACCTCAATTGATTTTATTAGATCTATTTTCTTTGGTCTGGACGACTCATGGTTTTTACTCTCATATTGAGGGGTTTTCCATGTTAAAAAATTTTGGTGTTCTTTTGTGCCTTTATTATTTGGTTTCCTTCTTATATTTGTTGTTAATCCTCAAGGTTCCTATAAGTTTAGGAAATATTATATATGCTGTGTATTGTTATGTTATTTTGCCTTAATTTCCCATCATAAGAAACACCTCAACAACCACTTATGCGTCTCTATCGTTTCATCTGACACCAATGCAGCACCAAATATAACAGTATGTGAGTGGTGGTTGCAACCAGAAAATATAACCAACAAATAATTGTATTTGTTATTCTTGTAAGTTGTGTCAAACACAAGAGCATTGCCAAAACATAAATAGTCTGATCTACTACTGCCGCCTTCCCCAAAAAGCAACTCCAATCTTCCATCACTATTAATAGAATATTCTGTATATAGCATAGAATTCGTAGATGATTTCACTTTTAGATAATCTAAAGCAGCAACAACATCACCATCTTTAATAACATCACACATTTTTTTATCAAAATAATTGTACAAATCTTTCTTTGTAAAACCAACATCATTACATCCACCTTTTTGAGCAACCATGTACCCCATTATATGACACGTTCTGATTCCATGTGATTGAAAACCATCAATTTGAGCTCTATTTATTTCAGAAATTTGACAAAAAATGGGGTGTAAATGCACAAATTTTATTGCGGTTAATTCATGGTTATGAGCTTCTTCAAAAACTGAGACTATATGTTTTCCATTTCTGGATTTATAATGCACACAGAACCTAGTTGCGCATTCAATACCGGTCAAACATCGGTGATCTCTTTCCTATCTACCCTAGATAAGTGCTTCTTGTCTCTTAATCAATGTTTGTTGCATACAAACTGCCTTATTACTACTATTTCACTACCTTTAGCCCTCTTTGCCTAACATTGCTTTTCCTAATGGAAAAACCTTTACATTTTCCATACCTATAATAAAATTCATAAGAATTACTCACAATTCCAAATTCTATAGCACGAATTTCATCTGGAATAATGAAATTTATATTCACCATGTGATCACCTACAATTGCTTGACTATTTGACAACTCCGTTCCAACCGACTTATCATCATTTTCATTACCAGAATCATCTTTATTATTTGAACTTTGTTGTACATTATAATATGGTGGGATAACTGACTTAAGGTTTTACGTTTTATCACAAATGTTACGGGTAGCAAGAGTCGCCACCGACTTTTCTTTTATCCAATAAAGGAAAGGATGAAAAGAACAGGAAAGGCCTTTTGAGAATTTTTTTAAGTTCGGGGGGTAGGTTATGAAAAGGGAAGGTGTTATCACCCTTTTCATCCGTAGTTATCTACGGGCTCTTAATCTCTTGATCACTTATGTTTTGTGTTTGTGTATGTTTGAAAATATTTTGAAAACGCCTGAGTATGGCAATTTTGCAATGATTCTCGTATCATTGAGAATGTATACAAAATGTTTATTTTAAAAATACTTGTCAAAGGAAGTGTTGTTTTGGAAAGATGTTTCTGAAAATGCCAATGTAGGGAAATTTTGTAATGATTCTCGTATCATTGAGAATGTATACAAAATGTTTTTGAAAAGTGTTTTGACAAATAGTTGTTTTGAAAGTGTGAGATGTGAAGATTTTTTGTTTGTGAGCGAGCGATTATGAGCAATCTACCTACTCAAAAAGTTCTTTGTTCTTTTCCTCCTCCTTTAGATAGTGTTATCCTACCATTAGTTAGTAGGAAGCCCTATCATTGGATGTGAGGGACATGCATGGGTCATCATACAGTAATAAAAGGCAACTTGTAGGATGCTTTAGCAATTTGTCATAAGGGACTAAGATTGTTTACCAAAGGCAACATCGAAGGGTCATCAAGGGACTACGATCTTTTAACCGAGGGTATTTGCTAAAGCATCTCACGTTCGAGGGACATGACTGTTTTTTATCCGAGACAACAAGTGAGGTTAACCCTAGAGGTGTAAGTGTGCAAAGTGTGTTTGATTCAATTATTTGTCTTGAATTAGGGTTTTGCTATGATTGATTTTAATCTTGTCATAAAAACCCTAATTACTAACAGAAATATGGAAAGCAATAAATTACGGAAATTAAATATCCTACGCTATTACAATGCTTTGGGAATGGGGGGTACAAATTTGTGAATCGGGAGGAATGCAATAAACCCTAATTAAACTATTACAATCCATAAGCAATTACATGATTATGAAAATAATGATGCGAAAAATAAACAAACGTGCGGAGATAGAAAGATGTTTTAAGAAACCCTAAAAATTCTAAGTATTTGAGAAAATGATTTGTTGTTTCTTTGTTTAGAGAATATTTGCAATGTGAGGTAAAAATTAGACCTAATTCTATAAGAAGATTAAAACAGTCTTTTATTATCAAAATTAAATTAAAGTCTAAGGAATTCTAAATATTTAGAAAATAATTTTGGAGTTTTATTTATAAGAGATATTTGAAGTATAACCTAATTTTTTTAATAAAATCAAAGTGATTAAAATAAATCAATTTCTTCAAAAATTAAATTAACTAATTAATTAAAAAAACCTTAATCTAAATTTTGTAAATAAAATTATTTTTTGTATTTTAATTAAATGAGATAAATAAATAAAAGTTAAGAAAATATGAAGAAATAAAAAGATTGGGCTTGTGGTCTTGTGAAAGAAATTTAGAGGGTGTGAAAAATAATACTAGGCCCAAAATAGATTTTTTTTGTTTAAATCAGAAAAATAAAATAAAAATGAAAATGGGCCTGCAAGTTATTAAAAGAGAGGTGTGAAAAAAAAGATTCAAACAGGCCCAACACAAGAAGGTCCAGGCGCCTGTGAGATTCAGTGGGGATGGCTCATGATGAGGCAACGTTGTAACGCCCGTAATTTAATTAATTATTTAATTAAATTATTTTTGGAATATTTGTGAAGAAGTGTTATTATAATTGGATTTATTTTATTAAATGGAGAAATAATAATATATTTGAGGTATTATATTATTGGGTGGTGAAATAATATTAGAAGTTAATATTATTTAATGTGGGTTTATAGTGTGTGAGTGGAAGTAATAAGGGGGAGTGTAAGTTTGGAGCCCACTAAGGAATAATATAATAATATTAAGTTATTTTATTATTTGTGAGAAAGAATAGAAGGAGGAAGCAGTAAGAAGAAAATAAGGATTGTGAAGAACGTGAAGCTGCTGGAATTAGAAGAAAACGACAAGAACAAAGGTTCAACCCGGAAATTGTAGAGCGACCTTCAATCCGAGGTAAGGGTGGGGTTCTGGCTTTATAATTGGGTTCATGATGTTTGATATGTGGGGTTAGAGGATTGCTATTTTTGTTCTTGAATTGGATGATGAATGATGAAGATTTGATGAATTTGAATGAATAATGACGTTATGATGTTGTTTAATCGATGTAGTATTATAGGATAATGTTAGGTGATGAATTACCATGATTATAATGAGGTTTGTAGGACTGTAATTAGATTCCCGTAGTGAATTACAGTAGAAAACACAGAAATTATGCAGACTGTAGCAGGATGTGTCGACCCCAAATTGGATTTGTCGATACATGAAGGCTAGTTGACTGAAGATGAGTCGATACAAAAAGGGCTTGCATCGATGCATGATGAGTAGATCAGAGAGGGGCATGTCGATACATGTTGTGATTAGGACTAGGATGAGTCGATCCATAAGGAGGATGTGTCGACTCATGCTGTGCAGGAGAAGCGTTACGCGTCGACCCCAAGGGTTTTGCGTCGACCCATACTGACTAATTTTGACATAATTAGTTTTTAAATTGCTGTAACTTGAGTTTTAGGATGTTGTTTGAGATGTCGTTCGAAGCATTGATTAACTAACGCGATGAACTTTATTCTAGATGATTTAGATGATGATTAAGAGGTGTAATCCCAGTAACCAATTTAGGATTTAAAATTAATTCCCGTAGATGACTGTTGTGCTGTTTTTGGGACATATTGATGAATATTAGATGTTAGAGGCTGCTGTTAGAATTATGACAGTAGGATTTAGTGACAGTAATGTTGTACAGTAGTAGAATAACAGTATGGATTACTGTACTATTAATATACAGTTGAGTATTAGTGAGATGTTATTGATGAAGTTGTGTTCGATGATTTTGTGATAATAAATGATGTTTAATAAATTATTTTGATGTTATGAGATGTTGTTAATTGAGATGTTTTGAGATTTTTTGAGATGTTTTGAGATGATTGAGATGTTGCGATTTTGAGGTGTTAATTGAGATGTTTTGAGATGTGTTTTGAGATGATTTGGGTGTTGATATTACATTCATGATGAGTCGCATACATTGCATTTTTGAGATGGAGCTTATGCTCGTTGAGATGGCCTGGATTGGCAAATTTTGAGATGAAGGCTATGCCTTGTTGATGCCTCTATTAATTGGCAGATTTTTGAGATGGGAGTTCTGCTCCAATGGTACCACATGCATTTGCATAGTTTTGAGTCGCATTATATGATTGAGTAATGAAGTGTATTTGATATTGATGAATGAATATATATGCTGTAATTATTGTTGATTATGAGATGAGAAGTGGTGACATTATTGATCTGATTTAATATATTAATTATCATGCGCTTTATTATATTGTTAGATATCTCACCCCTTCTGTTCGAATGTTTCCCTTATGTTGGTAACGTGCAGGTAATCGAGAGTTAAGGTTGTATACCTTCAATAGTTCGAGTCGGTGTCATTGCTCTGATATGTAACACTCTAGGGGATGAACGCTTGCTGATTTTCGATTGTTGATTTTTCAGTTGTTGACTTTTAAGTTGAATTATTATTAATTACGAGATGTTTCGAAGTTACTGTTTCATTTAGAGATGTTATTGAAGAATTCCGCTGCGTAGTTGTTGAATTATTTTATTAAGGATGCTATGTTGATGGTTCATCCGATGTTTTATTATAAGTGTTATATATCCATGATGAATGCAATGAATTTGTTAGAAGAATTTGTGACGTCCCGATTCGTTTGTATGAATGAAATTTTATAACTCTGATTTATCTCGCATAATTTGCTTGGGGTAGAATTGGGGTGTTACAAAGTTGGTATCAGAGCAAAAGGTTGGTCTGACCTTGTCGTTGAGTCTTAGTTGTCTAACAATCGAGTATTGTTATTTTGAGTTCTAACAGTTGTTCGTGTTGTAGTGATAAGTTGAGATGGCTGGAAGGAATGATGATGCCCTTGTTGCTGCTTCAGAAGCAATGGCTCATGCGATGGAAAATCAGCCGAATGCTGACGGGAATGCTGGATCTCGTAGCTTGGCGACTTTCCAGAGAGAGAATCCACCTACGTTCAAGGGAAAATATGATCCTGACGGATCTTTGGAATGGTTAAAAGAGATTGAGAGGATCTTTCGCGTGATGGACTGCACTCCAGCGCAGAAGGTTCGTTATGGGACTCATATGCTAGCAGTCGAGGCTGATGACTGGTGGCTAAAGACTTTCCAGAATTTAGAAGCTGCAGGTGAGAATGTCACTTGGGCTGTGTTCCGTAGGGAGTTTTTGAGAAAGTATTTTCCTGAAGATGT